AAAATGGTCCAAAATACATTCCCTAGCATTGCGCACATATTTTTCTACAAATTTGCTCTGATCCATTCCTCTACCTAATTTTCTTAGTTGATATTGATGTTGGCATATCCTGAACTAGAACCAAACCATTTGAAACATTTTGACATTTTTTCAATAAGCACTTCTACACTGCAAACAAAATAACAAAATTTTGTCATAATTTTTACTCGTTCTTTACCTTCCTCCTTCAAACATCACTACGTAGAGGTGGAAGAACGAGTATTGTGCTCGGTGCTGTGTAATGTTGTGACGGTCCCTAGGGCTAAAAGCTATAGGAACTTCAAGAAAATTAATTATAAATTAATTCAAAATTCTTAATTAATTTTTAATTAATTTCCAAGATTTCCCCTAATTTTCTTCGAATTTTCCACTTATTCTGCGGAAAATACGCCACGAGCTCCCTTTTAATGACTTTAAATCTATTTTTCCATATTTTTAAATTTACAATGTAACTGTGTCAAAAAATCTCATTTTGAAAAAGAAACACAGCGGCGTGTTCATAATTAATTTAACAAATGTTTCTCATTGGATAAAGTGCACTCTTGGTCTTCTGGGTCTCGTTCGGAGGGCTACGCTCATCGAGATTTTTCATACCATTCCCGGCACGCGTGTCGTAGCCTCTCTGCGAGGCCTGTTGATTGTGAACGCAGCAGTGTGCATGAGGCTGTGGTGTCGTGATCCTGTGGTCTTATACACCGTTGCTCGTTATGATCGTAAATAATGGATCGCTACATTATCTGGGTCTGATAGTATTGGCAAGTTACTTGTGCAACTGTTTAATCTGAACTTAGGAGCAGCGCCGGTCACGGCCTAGTTGATCATTAGTATGCAGTGGCGCCCTCTTGCGGAGAGTGGCAGACACAGACACGACAGCAGCCACCACATCCTTTCTAGGTGCGCACTTATTATCGGCATGCTTCGCGATGTAAGGAGTGTTCTGGTGACATGAAGGTGTGAAGTTTTCTCATGGAGCATCCTGATATCGGTCATTAGCTCCAGGCGATACCAGCTCGCTTGTCTGGCCACCTCTCACGAGAGGGCCACTAGGCCAGCTGGCCAGCTTCGGGGCCGGGCTCCGTGTGTGGAGCAGATGCATTTTGCAGTGATTTCGAGCCATTTCGGTCGGGTTCACGGCTACTACACCTTCTTCAGGCCTCAAGCGATTACTGTGTTAAATTCTACTGGTTGCGTACGTTGTGAGGTTATTGGTTTAATGGATCCTTCCGTGAAGAAGTGGCTGGAGGAAGCGGATCTTCCAGAACTTTGCAACGTTTTTGAACGTAAGTACAGCCGGTACAGCTTGTTTATTTTCAAGCTTTTCCCACGAATTTCCAGCCCCTTCCATGTCGTCCTAACCAAATAACTCGTTGGCTGATGCGGGAACGTCACGCTTTAGTTTGCGTACCGCATCGAGAGTTAGCTCGCTGGCCTAGAGCCAACTCAGTTGAGGTTAGGTTTTCGTTATCGTCCACCATGTGTTCTCAAAGAGTTTACATTTTAATCGTTTTCTTAGGTGAAAAGTTGAGAACGTTCCAGAGAATTATTTCCCTTAGGCCAGAACATTTGAAAAAGTTGATCCCTCAGATTGGCCTTCGAGCCCATCTGAGTAGATGCGTATCCGAACGTCAGCAGGTTAGAGCTAGAGCTCAGGTTCACTCACAAGTCCTTCTCGTCTTCTCTCTAAACCCTAGTCTCCTGTGCTGTGTCTTGTATACTAACCAATTGATTGTTTTTTGGGATTACGGGATTACTGTTTGGTATAGCAAGAGAAATGATGTTGGCACTAGACTACACTAATGGAGTTTGTTTCGCATTTTTTTTCAGTCTGAACAAGTGGACTTGTTTAGCCGAAGTCCTGGTGCATCCAAGCAAGCACAGCCAGAGGAGACTTCCTCCGATGATGGCAACATATCTTCCTTCAAGGTAAATCAGAATTATTCTCATCTATTGTACTTTTGATTCTTTTGTTTTTGTGTTAGTTTTGTTAAAAACTTCTCATGTATTATTCTGGAACAGGAAAGTTCTTCTGCAATCAAGGATATATTGATTACTTCGCCTAACCAAACTACTTCTGTAACTAAGGATATTTCAATTACTTCGCCTGACCAACCACCTAGCAGAAAGCGTGTGAGAGACTCGGATTGTTCTGATGAAAGTCCTACAATCAAGCATATTGTTCGATCAACAGCCCTCTTCAATTTGAAGAGTCAAGTAAGTTTGTGATAGCCTTTTTAATTCATATTTGCATGAGGTTTCTGTCTCACCCTCGCTTTGGTTATAGGACTTGCGTGATGTATTCAAGGAAAATATTATAACTGAGAACATCCTTTCGAAGTACGAGTCAACTGGTATATTGACAGAGTATGATCGGGCCCACATAGTGGAGAGAGCTGTACAGTATCTTTTGCAATTGAATCCAAGGTATGTGTGCTCCCTTTATTGCACTAATGTTTTTAAATGCAAGATTATTACTCTAACGCTTTTGCTTTTCTGTCTGTAGACCAAGTCAACAGGAACAAGCACTTCTAGCCGAAAAAAATTGTCATGTTTTTAACTTTGAGGAAACCGTAATTTGTTTGTTGATAGTAAATTTAGTTTGGGGAAATAAAATTTAAATTTTTTTGCTTTCCTTTATAGACTTCCTACTATGTAGCACCCAGTTCAACGTGCAAGAATGCAACCTCTAAGATTCCTAACAAGATACGAAACATCAGGTACAGTCTAAAGAAACGCATGGACGGTGCTCCAGTAAAATTTGACTTCAGTGCGCATTCGAACAAGGATGGGCTCACAAAGCTTGCAGGTTTGTAATCTTCTATTGGAAGGTATAGGGCATGTTTCCAGCAACAATGTCTCACTCAAGTGTCTTACTATATCTATTTAGGATCCTGTGATAAGGAAGATGAAGATGTTTTGACAGCGCTCCTTGCTCTGACACATGAAAACACTCCATCCCCACAATGAAATATTAACGGGCCTGCTTGGCGGCCAGGAAAGGCACGTACTTCCGCCATGAACAAGTAGATGAGCAGACTCCAGCTGTGAACAAGACGGAAAACTTACTCAGGGCACAGTTCACTCATAATTCAGCTAAGGACAACAGCAATAGAGAGGGGACCAAAAACTAGAATATACAGTAACGAAAAGTAGAAACGCACAACGACTAAAGTCAACAAGAGTGCTCCGTAAAATTACGACAGACGGCCCAGGCAGATTTCATGACTGTCTAACCAGCCACTCCTACCACAACGAATGAACAAACCGGGCCACACGGGATATGTGTGTACTTAAATCGCACTGATCAATGGCGGCGCATCCTGATATCGCAGTAAGACGTGCAGTAAGAAGCACTGCGTGCAGGTCATGTCAACCTGCACGCAGTGCGTCATACTGCTGGTTCCTGCAGTACTTTTCGAAACACTCGCAGACCGATATCAGGATGCGCCACGAGAAAAACCTCACACCTTCATGTCACCAGAACACTCCTTACATCGCGAGGCATGCCAATAATGATGCACAGAAATAATCACGTACCTAGAAAGGATGTGGTTGTGATGGCTGCTGTCGTGTATGTCTGTGTCTGCCGCTCTCCGCAAGAGGGCGCCACTGCATACTAAAGATCAACTAGGCCGTGACCGGCACTGCTCCTAAGTTTAGATTAAACAGTAGCACAAGTAACTTGCCAATACTATCAGACCCAGATAATGTAGCGATCCATTATTCACGATCACAACGAGCAACGGTATACTAGGTAGATGTACGCCAGACCACGTCTCGCGTAACAGGCTTCGCGATATCTCACGAAACACTGTTACGCTGCGACGCGCCTGTCATACATCTACCTAGGCCTGCGGCGCTGACACCCGAGTCGGGCAAAAGGCAGAGTCGTAGATAGGCCTTCGGCACCAAAGGAGACATATTTTACCCCCAGGATTTTATTCTGACGAGTTGCCCTACCAGAGACCATCAAATATCTGAGAAACAACATTAAAATGGTTTGGGGTCATTTTCGTGTTGAAATCGCCCTCTGGCGACTAAACGGTTAGAGATAGAGGCAAACGGACGAAATTTTCGCCCGTAGATTTCTACTTTGACGAGTTACCCCTTAGAAAACTATAACAAAATAATTAAAAATTAGCAATATTTTCCAAATGCATTTCAAATGGCCCGTTCTCGTCCAATGTTTGAGCTAGAGGGCTCAAAATCAAGGGTAAGTACTGGAGCTCCCCCCTCCTAGAGCTCCCCCCTAACATTTTTCGTATTTTTCTAATAATTAGTAATTAATACCCAATTTTCTCATTTAATATTGAAACATATTTTGCTGTTTTAATTTTGTTTTTTGTTTTTTAAATGTGTTTTAT